GGAGCAACAGCAGGAGGTGCACCAAAGGCTTCCGACCTCCAGAGGAGTTGCGGGAAGGCGAGAGAGAATCAGATTGACAACTTCATCGTCAGACAAAACCTCAAAAATACCATCCGAGCCCAACACCTAACAGACAACCCATACACCCCAATACGCAACCTGGGAAGGCCAGAACCCTCTGCCCCAACCCTTGACTTTACTCAATTCCGCTGTGGTTAAAAACAGACAGACGCAACAGTGCATGCACGGCTACGGAAAAGTTCTCACGGATGCATATTAATGAACAGATTTAATCAGACGCAATGCCTCTATGCCGTTTTGCAGAAGTGGAACATGCAAATGCATGCACTCAAGTAAGGCCCCACATATATAAATATATATGCGTCATTACCCGCACAATTTCCTGTGTAGGTGCATGCCCCGTGCAAAACGCAGAGGTCAGACCTGCACACCCCTTCTGCATTTAACTGCTATTTTTTTTCCCTTATGAAGAAGCGTGAGAACAGCAACAGGTGCACAACAGTGGCAGCGACTCAAACAACAGCCAGGAGACGCTTACGAGGAATGCGTCTCTGTCAAAATGCAGCGTGTAGACATGAACGGTAGGGTTGGATATAACTAAGGGCTTCGGCTTTTTCAGAGCAAGGTCCCCCAAAGCCCTTGCCGTCGAAAGCCCAAAAGTGCGGTTCTTGCGCGAGTCTAAAGCAAACACCCGCCAAATTCCCTGAATGGACGCCACCTGCAAACAGTGAAAGACTGAAAGGAATTTCAACGCATTAAATTAAAAGAACAAAGAACCCACAATGGCAGTAACAAGGGGGGAATGAAAACAGGTTGACACACTTCCAGCTAACACTCGCTGATGCGCATCGAGACGCGCTGCGCTGTTTGCACACCGCAAAAACCATTTCGGCAGTTTTGCAGTTTTCTGTACTTTTGTGGCAGCAAACGTTCGCCAAAGAGGCGCCCGCGGCTGTGGACGTCCAGACGATGTCAATAGCGAGCGTATTAAGGATACCGCGCACGTTTGCATGCAGAAGATGCATGCATGCATAACCTTCCCATTTGTACATGCATGCATGCATGCGCACTCTATGCATTAAGACAGACATGTATGCATTATGCATGCAGCTGCATAACCTATCGGTTGGGGTTGGTCACCTGTCCTCCTGCGGCCTCGATGCGTTTTCGTTCGCTGGGGGTATTTGGTTTATGGTCTTCCGTAAGGCGCAAGGCGGCACCGTCTCTGCCGACAGAGGGAGCAGAAACAATAGAACGCCCGGTGGATGGGTTTCGAGATATTCGGAACACTTCTACAGTGTCCGTAAATCCGAGTCACAGGCCATGCGGCTGTCTCCGCAATGCCTGTCTCAAGCGAGAACATAAACCTGCACGGCTAGTTTGCATGCACTGCAGCAAGACAATGAGCAGCAAACCAACTGCGCGTACAGACAGGCGCACCGACACAAAACCGCTCGCGAGTCGCCTGCATGCGCTGTAATCAGTTTCAGCGCTCCTTCTTCGTCGGGGCCAAAGAAAATCGCGACGCAAGCAGTGGAGCCCGCTGTTGAGAGACAGAAAGAAAACAAGAACAACAGAGTCAAACAACTGCCGTACCGATGACTGGACGCCATAACGACAGACAGAGTTTCAGCAAAGGAAACAACGCCGGCAAGCAAAAGAGTACACACAAAGAAGCCCCCCTGTCCCATATTCGCAAAGGCGAGAAACACAGGTGCCTCGGTAGCAGTAGATCCTTCCTATGTTCAACTACTGCCTGGCTGCCTGTAGAGCTCGCAGCTAGCTGCCTGGCTAGTTGCAGCTAGCTTGTGTATCCTTACCGTCTTGGGTGAGGGCGCTGGAGGTGAGGCCCAAGTAGTTCTTGTCGGTGACGGAGAATGCACTGAAGCAGCTACGCACGAGGGCCTCGAGCTCCACTGACAGCCGCTGCTCCTCAGGGCGCAAAGGCTCGGCTGTTCTGTTCAGCTGCTGCAGCCACTGCCCGTTAGCCCGCTGCTCCCGCAGCCGCTGCTGTTGCGAGTGCTGCTGGCGACTCGCCGCTTCTTCTTCGCGCTTGCGCTGAAACTCCAAACACCGTAGCAACCTCCCAGCACTTTCAAGTCAAAGCGCAGCACTCAACAGACTGTATCACACACCCCAGCATGCTGGCTAGCTCTATAGCTACCTAGCTAGTTAGCTGCCTCCTGACCTGAACGGTCCTGTAAACCTGGCGGTAGCAGCTCAAGATGTTCTTGTGTAGATGCGCCGCGGCGTAGTCTGCACAACTGACAACACAGGTTACATGAACACAACCCTGCTTCAAACATTTGTGGCTCCCCTAACAAAACATTCAAATGATCGACTCCCAGGAGGCAAACACTTAAACGCAAATGAGGCCCTACAACTACTAAGCATATGGACAGCTATCAGCGGCTTAGAATCCAGTTAGTCCCCTGCAAACAGTGTACTCCCGTACACCCCATACATGCAGTGCATGCATACACTTCTTAGGGCATGCACAACCGAGTAGCTTATCTGTTGATGCACTAGCAGGTGCTGTGTATGCAGACGCAGGCGCATAGGTATTACGCCACTAAGGGAGAAGATATTGTTGAATGCGCTTGCGCCGGGAGAGCGCTCTGCTTCTGTTTCAACCCACTCAGTTCCCGCATGTCCATCGTAAATAGCCGAGAAATAGCAGAGACCCTCAGTGCTGCCGGCGACGAAACCCAGAGGAATCCCTGCACGGGTGACGTATCGGTCTTCGCACGTGTCTTTGCCTTCTGCCGAGCCCTGCAGACCAACAGTTAAATTAAGCTTTGAAGACGAGCTTGCCATACAAAGCAACAGAGACAGGCAGCTCCAATGAGGGGCATGCACGCGTATATGTATTACGTTCCGTTTCCGCTCTGTAATTTGCTGTGGCAAACATTCTTCACCTTTTTCTGCGCTGTCGCAGCGTCGAGGTCATCCTCGAGATCCAACATGAAATCAGAATAATCGTCGGATTGCAAATCATCTCCCATTTCTTCCCCCTCTTCTCCTCCTTCTGAATTGTCCCCGCCTCGGGGCCCTTCAACACGCTGTTGGTGTTGTACCGGGAAGGTTTCGCTGCCCACCGTTCCTTCAGCTGCAGCGGCTTGTGGCTGCGCAGGCAGTAGTATGTTTCTTTCTGCATGGAAATAAACCTTTTCACTAGGATTGCACAGCCATCCGCTCTCCGTGTGAACGAGCCACTCCCCCCCGTCAGCATGAGACCAACCTAGACGTTCAAGTTCAGCTGCATGCTTGCGGGAAGACTCAGCCCCTTCATCCATCTTCTCCCACGGAAAAGACGGAGGCGATGCATCTCCTGCCTCCATGATTAGTCCAACTGTACTTAGAAGCCTTCGCAAATAAACTCGGTGCTTTCAGCAGCCAGTGCCGCTCCGCAATAACGAAACCCTGCCTAGCCACACACCGGAAACCCTGCCGGAGCATACACCCCAATGGATAACTCCTACTGCACACCAAAGTTCCTTATAACATATTATTCTCGCCTTTTCACTGCACATGAAAACAAATCAACTCTTCTTGGTGAGTTGTGCCGGGGATCCGTCTCCCGTGCACTTCAACTTCTTCACGGGTTTTAATTTAAACATGCGCGGTGAGCAATTACAGGTCGCCTTGAAAACATTTAAAAGACGTAACACCGAGGGAAATGCGAAAATTCGACCTGAAAAATACCCGAAAGGAGCGCTGCAGGGAAACGGAAACCCGATGCAGCCATAGCATTTGGGCACAAGCTGTCTTGAGAAAGCCTCAAGACCACTTACAACAATTAAAAACAACTAAGGAGAAATTACAGTGTTGCACGTTCCTATCTTAACCATGCATATCGAGTGCAGTTAAGGATGGACTCGCCAGTCCCGTTAGCATTCGTCTTACGGGCCCCGTTCTCATCGGAGGCCCTCAGAGGTTAACAGAAGATGAACTTCTAAATTTTGAACAAGTAGCGGAGTATCTGTGTTTTACTTTGTGTGTTTAAAGATGATCACTGGCTTTTTAATGCGGGCAACCCCGCCGTCAGCTTGCTTCGGCTACGCAGCGTGTTCCGCTGGTGGCCGCGGCACGTAGACAGATCACAGGAAACTCAAATGCGTCCCAACTGACTATTCTGCAAATCGGCATACTTCGTTCCTAATAAAATTATGCCTAAGCGTTGTTCTTCAGAGGAGAGTGGAGCTGGGCTGACTAGGACAGTACAGCCTGCCCCACACTATCCATAGTTCCCCAGTCGTTCGATTTAAAGGATGGTGCATGTTAATGAATACGAAATGAACCACATCATGCTACATGTCTGCACACAACGTACAAGGGGACCGTTTGCACCGCGCACCAGTTGTATCCTCCATACTTCCCTGCATTTCATGTAAGTGAGGGATTTGAACCAAATCGCAGTAATCCCCTCATGCATTATTTACTCTGCATACACTAATATGTGGAGGAGCCTTTGTGTGGCACAGCAGGGGAAACAGAAGGCTGCTCAACCGTGGTCTTACGCCATGTGTGCACCAATGCCTGCATCAATCGAGTGCATCTGTGCACGACATAAATGCACAGAAATATATATACAAAATAAAATGCATCGAAGGGGCCATTGCATGGCAACAGTACGTCTATCTGAGCCCGCTTGGAAGCTCGGAAATCTGGTCGCAGCACAACTATTTCACGTTTCTCGGCGAGCAAATTCCATAAGGCTTCCCTCGAGTGTTGGTGCCGGGTGTGTGGGAGGGCTTTCGCGCCCAACTCGGGCTTAGTCGATAACAAAAAGCTTGTTTAGAAACAAATTTCTGAGCAACTTACTTAATTGTTAAATGGAGTGGCGCTGCCCAGAAGCTGTTCTGTGCAGAAGATTCCACTCCAAAAACGAAAGCTTCATGTCAACTGTACCTGCGTCCAAGAGAGAGAATAATGCAGCGATGGTGCCTCTGTTCAATTTGCTTGCCAATGAACCTGCGACGGAACTTCGATACGTAAGCGGCTCCTGTACACCACAGCAACGCCGCGCTCCGATGCAACGCACAACGAAAAATTGCCATCTGCCAGAAGCGCCAGTCCTGTTTTCTTGTTTGAAGAAGTTGAACTAATGACCTCGCCAAACGCAATTGTTCTTTGCTCTAGTCGATTGTATGTACATGTGCAACACATAAAAATACGAGGCGCTCATTCGTCTCAACTGCAAGTCCTGCGCTGTCTCGTGTGGTCTTTCTTACGCCATAGAAGCCGACTGCATCCAGAAGTGGGCAGGCAGGTACCTTCTTCCACTTTTTGTTATCATGAAGAGCTGAGAATTGTAGCTCTTCCCAAAGCAAAACGTATCCGTATGCAGTCACCAGCGCGGTCAACACCACCACTACCTTCAGAACTCTGTAGAAGTGCTGCAAAGCTCTGCACCTGCTGCCTACAAGCAGCTGTTCGCCTCACGCAAGCATTGACGCCCTCCAGAACTGGAAGGCCCATGAGAAATGATAACGTTCTGGTAAGTTTCTCAACGATGAATCCCTGCTTGAAAGGCGATCAGGAAGGCGATGAAGAAGGGCGACACAGTTGTGAGCTTCTAAACAAGAGGCATCTCTTCCTGGTCCTTCTGCCTACGCAGTTCACAAGACCGGGAAGCCTCTACGGCTGGTAGAGGACCGCCAGGCCGCCGCATGTCTATTGGGCACAGCTCGATCTCGCGTCCCACTGATATAGTTCGCACAGACCCCACGACAGTTGGTGCTTCATGAAGATCAAGAGGCTCGTTCGGCTCGCTTCGTAGTGTCCAGGAAGGAAGGGAATAATGGCGCAATTGCGGAACTGCCGAAGTCTTGAGGCTGCAGGAGGAGCGCCCCCAACAGGCGCACGTCAGCACAATGAACAAAAGGAGAAACAAAACGATCATCACATGCCCCCACAGCGGAACGTCCTCTGTGGGCCAGCTCGAGCCTGTTAGCTCCAAGGGAATCGATTCGCGGCTGATAAGAGGATATGCAGAAGCGCCGCTCTTAGGTT